TTGATTTCTACTTTCCTATTCGTACAATAATTCTGGGTTAAAATTCTATTCTAAAATCATATTATAATGTAATACAATTCCTATTGTAATCTATCTATCTATCTATCTATCTATCTATCTATCTATACTATATATAAAAACAAAATCCATCAATTTTAACTTTCCGCCTAATTCCTAAAAAATCTCTCTTCCTAATAAAATATATTGATTTCTACTTTCGTATTCGTACAATAATTCTGGGTTAATATTATATTCTAAGATCATAAAATAATGTAATACAATTCCTATTTTAATCAATCTATCTATCTATACATCTATACTATATATAAAAACAAAATCCTGCAATTTTAACTTCCCGCCCAATTCCTAAAAAGTCTCTCTGCCTAATAAAATATATTGATTTCTACTTTCCTATTCGTACAATAATTCTGGGTTAAAATTCTATTCTAAATCATAAAATAATGTAATACAATTCCTATTATAATCTATCTTTCTATCTATCTATACATCTATACTATATATAGAAACAAAATCCTGCAATTTTAACTTCCCGCTCAATTCCTAAAAAATCTATCATTCTAATAAAATATATTGATTTCTACTCTCCAATTCGTACAATAATTCTGGGTTAAAATTCTATTCTAAAATCATAAAATAATGTAATACATTTCCTATTGTAATCTATCTATTTATCTATACATCTATACTATATATAGAAACAAAATCCTGCAATTTTAACTTCCCGCCCAATTCCTAAAAAATCTCTCTTCCAAATAAAATATATTGATTTCTACTTTCCTATTCGTACAATAATTTTGGGTTAAAATTCTATTCTAAAATCAAAAAATAATGTAATACAATTTCTATTGTAATCTATCTATCTATCTATACATCTATATCTATACTTCTATACTATATATAAAAACCAAATCCTGCAATTTTAACTTCCTGCCCAATTCCTAAAAAATCTCTCTTCATAATAAAATATATTGATTTCTACTTTCCTATTCGTACAATAATTATGGGTTAAAATTCTATTCTAAAATAAAAAAATAATGTAATACAATTCCTATTGTAATCTATCTATCTATACATCTATACTATATATAAAAACAATATCCTGCAATTTAAACTTCCCGCCCAATTCCTAAAAAATCTCTCTTCTAATAAAATATATTGATTTCTACTTTCCTATTCGTGCAATAATTCTGGGTTAAAATTTTATTCTAAAATCAAAAAATAATGTAATACAATTCCTATTGTAATCTATCTATCTATCTATCTATCTATCTATCTATCTATCTATCTATACATCTATCTATACTATATATAAAAACCAAATCCAGCAATTTTAACTTCCCGCCTAATTCCTAAAAAATCTATCTTCCTAATAAAATATATTGATTTCTACTTTCGTATTCGTACAATAATTCTGGGTTAAAATTCTATTCTAAGATCATAAAATAATGTAATACAATTCCTATTTTAATCTATCTATCTATCTATACATCTATATCTATACTATATATAAAAACCAAATCCTGCAATTTTAACTTCCCGCCCAATTCCTAATAATAATATAATAATATAAGTGGTAATAATAATATCTAGAAGTAATTAAGTGTTAATAATAATAGTAAGAATATTAACGTAAGAATTAAATTTGGAATTTTCAGAAGATAAGCGACCTCTGGTGAAATTAACTCTTAAATAATTATATATCAATTTAAATATTTTTAAAATATTACAACAATTTCATTACGTGCATCGCACGGGTGAAAATACTAGTATATATTAAAGATAAACTGAAATAGAGTAAGAAGAGATAGAATCTCATTACAAAACAATAGACGACTCAACAAAAGTTGTAGAAGCAAGAGTATGAGCTATTAAATTAGCTTATTTAGAACCAGGGACCATGTGGTCCAATAGTATCCGGTTGCTCCCTTAAGTGGGAGGTGATAATTTGAGAACAAAATTAATAAGACACGGGCTGAAAGAAAATATATAGGATCTACACAATTGTCAATGACATTTATTTAATTATCTTTACTACAGAATATACTTTTGTTAGACAAAATTATTATTACACCATTATAACGCTATTATTATATAATAAGTTCTAATGTTTTTATTAGTAAATGTTAAAATCTTTTTATTTTAAAATGAGAAAATTAATATGGTTGAGATAGTGAAACTTGTGTGATTAGAAATACACAATATTATACTATAGTATGTTTATCCAAAAAGTTGGTAGCATTAACTTAAGGCAAGATTTGATAGGATACTCAAGGTTGTGCCTTCAATATGTTAATTATATGTATATAATCTTGACAAAAGCTTAGACCATAATTCATAATATAAGGTGGATTCTAGTTTATCATATAATTTGTGGTGTTCAATTGTTTTACTATGAATCAGGGTTCATATTGCATTGTAGACTTCAATTTAAAATTACATTCAAATTATGTATTTACAGTTATAATTTTGGACCTTAATTTAAAACGACCTAAATATTATTTTGGACCAGAGTTCATAGTACATTGGTCCATGGTATAATTTGGAGTAATACTATTACATATACTCTCACTTTTTACTCCATTTTTCTTCCAAAAGGCTGAACCCCAACCCTAAGGGCCCCCCCACATCCCGGCCCGACAGAGCATTTGGGAGGATGTAAATCATGGTGACTCAACTAAACATGAACCACAGAGGTTAGACCGGTGCTCACTGCGCACAAGGAGCCCCCCTCACTTTGAGATGTTGCTCCCACACTGCCGCTGGTGAGACTCGATCCCTGGTCATTCTTCCAAAGTAAAATTCTAAACAAATTAATTTATTTTTTACTCTTTGATGAGGTGCCATCCTTTGATTAATTTAAGTAACAAAGTGGGCCACTATTTTTACTCATTCATTTTTATTTACCCAATAAAATTTATACACGTGATAGGAGTTATACTCAATGGGAGTACATATATCATTTTCTTATAATTTGCCAATTGTTATGCAATGAACTCAGGACCAGGTCCAAAATGCACCTATGGAATAACAGTGTCGTTAGTGGCACTGTTTTCTCAGCCAATGATATTTTTTTTTTTTTTTTTTTGTGAATATAGAGTTCTAAAATTGTGAATATATAGTTCAAAATTTGTGAATATAGAGGAACGAATTCTGAAGACAAACGACAAGAAAGGAAGCAATTTTTTTTTTAAATTCAGACAGCGTCATTTTGAAACAAAACGACGTGATTTTAGACCCGAGTCTTAGAGTCTACACATAATTTGCCACACATGGATTCATCAAGCTCGGCCCACGAATTCAATCCAACCTAGTCATGATAATCCGGCCCAAAAAAGATTGTCTTCTCCATAGTACAGAGACAATATATGCCCTTTGTTTTTTTAGTTTTGTTTCCATCTGTGGGATTATCAATGACTTTAGGCCATGATGCCATGATGGACATGATTATGGAAACTTGTTATCCGAGTAAATTAAATTGCCACTTGAAAAAAAAAAGTTAGATTTTTTATTATGGGTCTTATTCCTCTTAAGATATAGTTGAAAGAAAAAAAAAATCATTTTATTGACAAATTAAAAGGCAAGTATGCATTAACATTTAAATTAATGATTGAAATTATATTTACTTTATACTTTAGAAATTAAAAGTGCAAAATTTCTATTTTTGATACAAAATACACGCTCCTCCGATGTATTTAAAATTCATACCTGCTTATCTCGAAAGTAGCAGATAAGTGAATAGATCATAATTATTGTATTGAAATAGTCACGAATTTAATTTTTGCTAGCATTCTTTTAATTAAGGCTATCGCACAATGTATTCATTACGGGTTTACCTATCATTTTTCATCATAATTATTATATTGAAATAGTCACGAATTTAATTCTTGCTAACATTCTTTTAATTAAGGCTATCGCACAATGTATTCATTACGGGTTTACCTATCATTTTCCATCAAGTAAGGTTGTCAAGTTTGTTAAAAAGAAAAAGTTAGGTTGTCAAGTCAAATAGTAAGTTGATAAGGATAAAAAGATTTAATTGCATCTGTTCTCCTTCCATACGAATTGAGGTGTCGTATCCCATTTTTTGTCATATATTTAGGTTTATTTGATGTTTATCCTTTAATTTTGTTTCGCTTTGGGATAGTCATATGCACAAAATTTATTTTATCATACATTTATCTCTCCATATATATTTCCCGGTCAAATTAATTAGTTATCGTCATTGATTTCCTTTACTATTTTCTTAATTTTTTTTTATATATATAATAACTTTTAATATATTTTTAAATTTTCATTAATTAATTACAAAATTTATATTATAAACAAATTGAATAAATGGAGCATATAAAGTGCATTTATTTTCAACTTTGTGTTGGTCTATTTTTATTTTTATTTTTTACTTTTAATAATTTACATAAGAATTTCCAATTTGTAATTAAGTTATTATTATTATTATTATTATTTTTTTTTTTTTGCTTGTCACTATTGATGTTGACAAAACTCATAAAGTTGTGACTTGTCATTTGTCAACTTGTCAAGTAAAGACGAGTTGTTTTTAAAATTATTTTAAACTTTTTTTATATTTTCCCAATTCCTATTAAAAATAAAAATAAAAAAATTGATAATAACAAGCATGCTTTTGATTTATAAAAAGGTTTATATCTAAAATTTGAATGTAAAATCTGAGAAGATTAATAGGTCACTACTAAGCTAACAACTCGAATTCAATTGAGATTACCTCAAGAACATGCCCTTTGGTATATGTCTAATAACAGCACTAAATTTCAATACATATTGGATTTAAGAGATAGGATTAGGCTCCATATATCTCGTAATCATGTGTATTAAATTATAGTAATAAGATCATATCCGTATGAATTTAAACGAAAGGAAAAGAACACAGATCATGAGACAGAGGTCTCTTTCTATAATAATATTCTCCAAAGAGTCATAAATTATTTTCTAACAATCTCAAAAAATATTCTTAAAAGGGCAATTACGTTTCAAATGTATGTAAAGCACATACTATATATGTTGCGATTACATTTCCAAATGTACCTAAAACTGACTATATTATCAGAATATAGTCATATTAGGCTAAGCAAAGTCATCACGTAAAATGGGAACTTAGATTCCCTCCATTCAACACATGAACTAAATCCCTTGAGGCCCAAATAGTATCTAATATCACAAAGAGCCTAAATTGACACAAAAGTTATAGAAGAAAAAAAAATAAAAATGAATCTAGATCACATAGTCGGACCATTCAGAAATATATGAAGTTTGGTCCATGGTTAAACTAGGCATCTTATCATGCGTTACCGGATTTTCCTTGCCTCCGATCAACCTCGCCGGATTACCCACCGCCGTTGTCCTGGCCGGAACCTCTTTTAGCACCACCGACCCGGCGCCGATCTTGGCCCCATCCCCGATTTTAACGTTCCCCAGTACGGAAGTCCCGGCGCCGATCAACACCCCATTGCCAATCTTCGGGTGCCTATCTCCGCTAACCTTGCCGGTGCCGCCGAGCGTGACGTTGTGCAGAATCGACACATTGTTCCCGATCACCGCCGTCTCTCCGATGACGATCCCGGTGGCGTGGTCAAACAGTATCCCCCGCCCGATCTTTGCGCCGGGATGGATGTCGACGGCGAAAATCTCCGACGACCGGTTCTGAACCAAGAGGGCCAGAGTTTTCCGGCCTCGCGACCATAACTGGTGAGCCACCCGGTGCGCCTGGCAAGCCAAAAACCCTTTGAAATTCAAGAAACAGTGAACGTAACTGATACAAGCCGGGTCCCTTTCCTTAACGGCTTTCAAATCCTCTCTCACAGCCCTAATAATCTCTCGATCCTCCTCCATAACCGCCAAGAAAAGATCGCAGAGCTTCACACTGGGAAGGCTGGAATTGCTGAGCTTCATGGCGAGATGAGTGGCCAGAGCGCTCTCAATCGAATCGTGCCCCAAGATTGAGGAAAAATAGTAACCGGACAAGATGGGCTCTTGCTCGACATCGGACATGGCCTCCTCCTTCATCCTCAGCCACACATCATCAACATCATCCAAGAGCCGGCGGGACGGGTTCTCGGAGAAGGGGACGCAAGAAACGAGGTCCGGGAAAGTGGGTCGGCAGTATTTGACGTAGTTGTAGACATGATCGTCGAATTGAGTCAAGTTGGTCTGGGAATTGGGAGCTTCAGTTCTGGAAGAGTGAATACAAGCAGCCATGGAGAAAGCGCAGAGATTGCGAGGAGGTTTGAATGGAGAGAAAAGGGGCTTGGAAATGGAGGGTTGTGACAGCAGATTTGTGGACATAGAAATGAGAGGTGCAAGATGATGGGGAGTTGAAGCCATGGTTTTATATAGCGGCGATGGCGATGTGCTCAAGAATTCAATTCTCTCTGGGAAGAGATTTCTCTGCTTTATTTTTTACTGCGTTTGTTTTAATATTTTGTGGAGGATGAAGAAATGGAATTTGATTTCTTTTGACAGGACAGCGATATAACAATTGGGTGATGGATAATTGGATATTCTTGAGATGCCGGTTGGGCCTTGGGGACGCATTATAGCCTTATAAGCTTCACATATGTATTGCAAATTATATTGTAACCCAACATGGTAGCTTAAGTGGTAAATAGACTCTTTTTGTTGGAGAAAATTTTGGGATAATCCAGATTCGATTCTCACAAATGACGATTTCCGAGCTAGCTCATGTGTCTCTTGGAGCAACGATTTCGGGCTAGCTCCTGTACCTCACGGAAAGAGTGGGAATCAATATCAATCAGGTGGACTCGGATCACCTTGTGGTTCACACAAAAAAACTGACATTTATTAATTTTTATGCTTAACTTTTAATTTGGCCATAAATAGTCTCTTGACTATTGACCTAAATCAATTCTTATCCTCAACTTTTAATTTGACAATAAATAGTCTATTGATTATTTATTTTGTTACAAATTTGGTCATTCAGTTAAACATTAATTTAGTAAATATTCAATTTAAGGATAATAATGTAAAATGTTGGTTTTCACATTCCTGCTAATGATGAGACTAATGTGCACATATTATATGCACGTCAAAATAAATAATGACAATAACATATTTGTAATTTTTATAAGCTAAACAAGTAGTTCATTGGCTAAACAGTAAACATGCATCATTGCATCCCTTTCTATTATACAAATATGATGACAATTCTATATACGCTAGTGTAACATTTCTTTATTTATTAATTATAATGAAAAAAAATATGAAATTGTAAAGTAAGATTTTAGTGTCAAATATTCAAAAACAAAACGATACACAACTTACACCCGGCAAAATGACTTATTAAGTGTTTCAATCATTTATACTTTGTGTTAATTAATTAATCATGACTTAACTGATTTTATTAAACTAATTAAATTAGATCATGTCAGTATATATCTTACAGAAAATTTTACAGTACTAAAAATGTATTCAGACACTCAAAGAAATTAATGCGCGAGAGATATTCTTCTAACAATATATTCCAAACTCTTTAAAATGTTAAAATTTATTATTTATAGGTAAACAACAAATTTTTAATAAACTCTTATAATCACCCTTTACAGAGAATGGGATCACCACCTACTTTGTCAACGTTGACGGGGAGGAAACCTCCTCCTCTATCAAACTGGACGAAGGAGGTTGTAAAGTTTTGAAATTTTCTTTTAAAATAATAATAATTTGGCCGTGAAACTTTGAAATTGTTTTAAAAAAATCGTCGAATGTAATACTTTTTAAACTTTATTTTTATAATTAAAAAATATTTTTAACATGCCACAACGTTTCTGTTAAAGTTAATTTTTTAAATCTGTCACATTATATGTCAACTTAAGAATTTAACTTGTTTTACCTACAAAAATTACAAAAATATTAATTGCACACACTTTTAATGTTATATCGTTTAATTATACATCTTTTTTGTTTGATGATTTATTTAACTTTTTTTTTTCCTATAAGTTGAACCCTATACTTCCTCTAGTTTTGCGTGTGTATCTTTCGATCCTAGTCAGTAGTATTATTATTTTCAGTTTTGCGTGTGTTGAAAATGTTTGTTTTTCCATTTCTTAATATTGAACTGATATCTGAGACGGAGTATTAAATGTGATGGTGGCGTTTAACAAATACGGAGTATATAATTAGTAAGCAAAGCAAAGCAAGCATGCAACGTATCTGTTATAAACACTAATATTATAGTTATTTTTATCCGTTTTGACTAATTTTTTTAACTTCCGCGTTTAAAGACTCTATCAAGTATAGTGCACACATAAAGGCTAATCCTAGTTGAGTTAACTGAATAATTAATTTAATAACTACTGATTGATTTAATTAATCGAGTAGTCGTTATTATCAAATCCAATAAATCAAGGAAATAAAAATGGTAAAGGATGCTTGTAAAGCTATTACAATGGATAATTTAGACAAAAAATAACATAATGATCCGTAAATACTTGGGCAATAGTAATTTATAAAAGAAAGAAACCCAACTAATTTAGCTAGAAATGTGACAGATCATGAGACTAAATCAAGGTCCACAGAGTCCTGGACCCACCATTTGGATTCGGACGTGGGCTCCGGGTCCTGGATCCTTCTTAGGCCGCTCAAATTATCTTCTTAGACTCTAGGCTATGCATTCCGGGACCTTAAGTCCTAATTATTGGATCGTTTCTAATATCTCTATCAACTACAATATTTTAAGTTTGATTAGGTAAATTTTATTTAGAATACATTTTTGAATAGCAAATACAATTTTTCTTTTGCAATCAAAATATAGTTTACGGTTTAAATAAAATTTACAAAATGGAGGATTATTGGATTGTCTTCAAAGTTTGACGGCCGCCACGACTACATACATATGCACTGACGTTGTAGCTTTCTGTTGAGGAAACAGACATTACTTGCGGACAAAGTCAAGTAACATCTCTATTATTGCTTTGACCAACAATCTATTTATTTATTTATTTATTTATTATATTCTTTAATTTTTGGATCTTAGCTTACATTCAGTTCATTTCAAACAATTATCTAAAAGTCATTAGTGATTAAATTCTAATAAGAATACATAAAATATATTAGTGTAATTTGTAATGATGATAATTTATATAGATTTTTTGTATACTCACATTTTTTTCTAAATTATTAATAATGCAATGGAATAACAAAATTAAGTTTAATATCTTGTATATTATCCTTACTTTTTTATACACTTACAAAATTTTATATTTCTTCTTTGGTTCTAATGTATTAATAATTTCTACGGAGTATTATTTTTATTTCTTTATAATTATATTACTTTTTTCATTGACATTTATTTAATCGTCTTGATTAATCAATTAATAAATTTAAATTTAAATTATTTATACTTTAATTGTTATATATTACAAAGTATTTACTAAATTTTCTAAAACGCTTATAAACTGTAAATCAACATTTGTAATTCGAATAACAATTCAGTTATTTTTAGTCAAAAGACTAAAAGTGAACAAATAGTTAAAAATTTTAAAAGAAGCAGCTGCGACGCACAGCCTTTGGTCTGACGTTTGCAGTGACGAGTAATCACATTTGACCCCCATTTCCCCATCTTGTGCAACCTGCATATTCATTGTAAACTCTGGTCTAAAAATAATTTTCAAATTTTATATATATAGTTGACATATTATATACATGTATTTAATAATTTTTATATCTCTATCTATCATATTATGTGTTAACAATTATTCAAGTTATTTATTTACATATATAAAAACTGTTAATTGTAGGTACATAATGTGTTAACCGAAAGATACGGAATTTTTGTATCAAGTTCACAATGCAATATGAATCTTGGTCTATGGGCAATTGTTATACCATGGCTAAGGTTTATATTGTATTGTGAATTCTGATTTAAAAATTATATGTCAACAGTTAATTAATATATTATGTATTTGCAATTAACAATATTTGTATTTGTAAATAAATTGAAGACACATAATATGTTAATTAAAGACACATAACATGATAACTACAAATACATAAAATATTAACTGCATATACATAATATGTTAACTGTAGACACATATAATATTAATTGGTTAACAAATTACATGTCTGCAGTTAACAGTTTATGTGTCTATAATTATCATGTTGTGTGTTTTAAATTTGTTTACAGGTACAGAAACAATTAACTGCAAGTAGAGAACGTGTCAATTACAAGTACAAAATCTGAAAGTTATTTTCGGACCAGAGTCCACAATGCAAGGTAAGCCCTAATCCATGGTATAATTTGCTTGGTTATTGACTTGTACACGTATTTGATTTACGGAATGAAATTTCAAGAAATATAAATTCTAATTTTTTGAAATATTATTCTATTTTGAAAAATATAAATTCCATTTAATTGAGAATGAAATAGATGATGAATAAAATATGAATTTAATTTCATTGTTTGGTTCATGAAAAGAATATATTCATAAGTTGTATTTTAGTGTTTGGTTAAATTATGAAATAGAAGTATGCCCGGGGTTTATATACAGTTATGAATCTACAGTTATGAGATTATGAATCTACAGTATGGAATTATGAATGTACAGTTATTGATCGAATTATGAACAAAGAGCTCTAACATTATGAACTTATAATTATGAACATATAGTGATAAAATTATAAACATAGAGCTCTAAAATTGTGAACATAGAGCTTCGAAAATTATGAATGTACAATTATGGAGTTATGAATGTACAGTTATGGAGTTATGAATGTACAGTTATAGAGTTATGAACGTACAGTTATGGAGTTATGAATGTACAGTTATTAACATATAGTAATAAAATTATGAACATATACTCCTATAACGAAGCGGTCTGAATTTTTTTTTTTAAAAAAAGGAGATAACAGTGCCTAACGGCACTATTACCCGTGTCCAGCAAGCATGCTGGACACGGGTCCAACGCATAACGATGATCTAAGGAACAAAAAAAAAAAAAAAATCGATAGTATGTACTTGATTAATTTTGTTGATCATTTCAATTAGGTACTCCATTTTCTTTCATATGCAATTGGCCCCAATTTATATATTCCTTTCATAAATCATAAAAGCATGTCGAATTGTAAAGAATTAGTGCACATATATAAACATAACTTAAAAAGCATATACAAACAAAACAAAAATATCAACCCAATATGTATTATAATTTTTGCACTACTCCTGTTTTATCATGACGTTATCTCATTTTATTAAAATTTTAGAACTTCAATTACCCAACTTATTTGATTTATATAGTATATATAAATTAGTTTGATCAATATTCAAATGAAAGTTCATATATGGAGAAGACGAGGGGCATGAGGCACACTTGTAAAAGTTGCAAGTTCCTTGCGAAAGGGTTTGATAGGATCTCTTTCCATCACACTTTAAGGGAAGGTAACAAGTTCACCGATTATTTAGTGAATATTGGGCAACATGGCGAATGAGGTACTAATTATCTGGAGAATTCACCGACTAGCCTAGATAGGC